CACTGACAGCGTAGGCTGCAGCCCCTGCTGCAGTGGGTTGCCATGGGCTACCGTGTGTAGCCAGCAGCCAGCGTGAGCGGCCAGCAGCCACTGTGAGCGACTATCCAGAAGCCGGCGACTGATTTGCCTCGCCTGAGAAGAGCGCAATGATGGTGCCAACTTGGGCCAGTGAAGCAACGTCTTCCACAACTAGACTAAAGAACAAAAGGACAGCAACTTGTTTGTTCCCCTTCCCTGATTCCCCAGCACTGTACCCATCCCCCAATTCCCCAATAAAAATCTTAAAAAAAAAAAAAGAAACTCGCTGAAGAGTTTGATCCCTGAGCAACAGCGGTTCGATTCTTGGCCCGAGCTGAGCAGCCACTGAGCTGCCAACAGGTGGCAAGATGGCTCAGCTAAAAATAAATAAATAAAAATATTTACTATAGCATAAAAACTACAAGAAGTAATATGAATAAATATAAGAAAATTGTATGAAACCTGTATACATGAAATTACAAGTCATTTCTAAAGGACATTTAAAAAGATGTGAAAAAAGGAGCAACATATGTGTGACATCCTTGGCTGGGAAGAGAGTGTCATGAAGATATCCGTTCTGCTCAAATTCAGGTATGAATTTAATAAGGTTCCAGTCTAAATTCCAAGAGTTTCTTTTTTACATGTAAGTTGGTAAGCTGATTCTAAAATTAATATGAAGGAGTAAAGGGCCAAATAGCAAAAATACTCTTGAAAAAGATGTCAAGACTCATTATACCATATATCAAAACTTAAGAAGCAATAATGTAGAAAGTGAAATAGAACAGGGAGTCTAGAAGTAAACTTAGATATGTCTAGGAGTTTGTGATATAGCAGCAGTAGCATTACAAATTAAATGGGGAAAGAATGAACTTGTCAATAAATGGTGCTGGGACAAACCGTCATTCATTTGAAAATAATGTGAAATTGGAAGCCTGTGTGTCAAAATAAATATTGGGTATAATAAAGACCTAAATATGAAAAACAAAACTGCCCTCCCCCCAAAAAACAAACAAAACTTTTTTTATTAGGTTAGCTAATGGTTAATATTTCCCCCCAAAGAAATAGTTCTTAGGTTTATTTTAGTTCTATTGTTTTTCAGGGTTTTTTTAGGTAAGTTTCTCTTTTTATCTTTTTTTCTCTTCCTGTGTTTTTTAGCTTTTTTTTTTTTTTTTAGGCAAGTCATCCTGCCACCAGTAGGCAGCTCAGCTAGGGCCGGGAATCAAGCTGGCGACCCTGTTGCTCAGAGCTCACACTCTTGAGCAAGCTCTTAACCAACTGAGCCACTCGGCTGG